TGTCGCCAACCCAATTAGGAGGATCGAATTATTGGAGACCAGACCAAACTGCTGAAACATTGACACTTGTGACAACCCTGTCCTTATGGGTACCTTTCTCCTCCTCACTCACAATCTCTGGCTCCTCGCCGTCCTCGCAAACTTCGTCCTCGGTCTTAACCTCCTCCTCGGCCTGCTCATCATTCTCGGCAGGAGCCACCTTTGCAACGCCGGGTTTGGACAGGCCAGTTTAGGCTCTGGAGATTTGGGAAACTGGGCTGGAAAGTGAAAGCGCACCCTTGAGACCCTTTTGTGGATCGATAAATTGAGTCCGCTATTAATATCACCGGTGCGTTGAATTGCAATTGATCCAAACTCCAACAACATTCCTTCGCGCCTCTTTCAAAGCATGTGAGCTGGCACTTCGACCACGGGTAGCAATTTTGGTGCCCTTCTCATTGAGCTGCCCATCCATCTCAGCTAGATCGAAGCAAGGAATAGCGGATATCGATTATGATTGTATTATATTACTACTACAGTAGCTTTGATAGCATTATAGCCTTGGATTGGATTTGCATTCATTTTGATTTTTATAGCCAGGGCACCTCCAACTTTGTCTTCAATAAAGTCTTGAGCTGCTGCATGTTCTCTTTTCCTTGCCTCAGCTTAATTCATAGTTGTGGACACCTAAATGACTTCCGGTTGATCACTGGCAGGCATATAATGTTCAGTTTTGATTGGGCGCATTGGCCAGGGACACGCGCCAGTTGGACTTCTGATTGCAGGCAAGTCACCTTGCACCTCCAGGGTTGTTCTGGAATCTGGTCTTGACGTACATGTAGAGGGCCCGCTGGTACTTGGCCTCGTCATCAGCCCACACCTTGGAACATGATCACAATTATTGTTCTATTTGAAGGGTTGAGGGTTGTTGACATCATGATGTACAATCGATCGATATCTCAAAGTTTGGTGAAGTCACCTCGTGCTCCGCATTGGAACCAAACTTGTTCAGGCAGAAGTGAATACTTGCCCAACTGAGGGCCTCCTGCAAGCACTGGTATATATTGTACACGGGCATGGCACGCACGCATCATTTATATCGGTGAACCCTGTGCATGCATGCGTGCATGTCCATACATGGCCTTGCATTCGAACTGAGTCGGGATGGTTCCACCAAAGGAGGCGATGAGCTTCACCAGTAAGTTGAAGTTCTCCTCGAGCTCGACCTGCCCCAAAAAAAAACTTCATTGATTTCCATGCAATGCGCTTGAATTTGCTGCATGGCTTGAATATACATCGATCCACCCCAAGCACACTCAAATACACATGTGCACACACACACCTCATGTTCGGAAATAGCAGACTTATCCTTGCCCCCGCCAATGCCCAGGTGGACGAAAGTGAACTTGGGCGCCTGAGCATGAGCGTGTTTCCCAGGCTGAGATCTTCGGAACTGTTCGGACTGTTTCGGACTGTTCACCGAGGTACCCGTGTATCATGTTTCTTGATGCCAGCTCGAACTCTCAGGAGCTTTTTGCGCTCTACCAAATAGTTGCCATCCTGGAGGATCTCGGTGTAGAGAGCCTTAGGTGTCAGGATCGCTTCACCTGAGTGTGGCCTGCTCAACATCCTGTGTTTGTCCAAAAACAGAGATCGAGAGAGAGAGAGAGAACTAGGCAAAGAACTTTGCATCAAAGACACCTTCAAGAGATTGATGTTTTCAATGGACTTTTTGCTCTTGGCCATGGCTCTCAACAGAACAAGGTTTATGGATCCATGTACATGTTCTTTGATCCATCCAAAGGATTGAGTAATGAAATGAGTCCTGGATGGTGTTGAACACCCCCGCATCACTTGAGCATGGAAAACTAGAAACAATCGAGAGCAAGAGCAGGCAGTGCTTGTGGTGCAATCTTGGCTCACCTGATTCCAACTTGAGACAACTACGATATCGAGCACGAATCGGGAAAAAGGCTCCTGGATCTTCGATCAGCTGCTCGTCCAAGTCCATGAAGCATCCTGGGTGGGAATTGGGGCATCCACTCCCCTAACCCAAGACCATCAATTTTAGCTCAGCAGGATAGCTCAGAGGCCGACGTTTGGCCAACGCTCTTTTTGTCATTGATGGGCTCCTCGATGGTCAAGAGCTCGAAGTGCATTGATTCATCATGGGCCTTGAAGGTATGGATTTTTGGGATATGTGCATGGTCCACCAGTTGGCCACAAGAAAGAGAACAATACTAGAAAAATATGCTGAACATATCCCAATGGCTATACTCTCGAAGGTGAGTAATGGCCATCGACCAGAACATAGGCAAAGGGCCATGACAGAACCGGTTTAGTCAGTTCATGTCAGTTCCATGTCTGTTGTCAAGACTCCAAAAGTACTAGCGCAAGTCTAGACTTGGTTTGATTAAGATTTCCTGCGATTCATCTTGTTATCTTGGAGCCTGAAAGGCTGGAAAATGTCGGTTAATAGGAAAACAATACACGAGAGGCAGCCAGCATATTTAAAATGCCGGTTGACAGTCAGGGTATGATATAAATCACCCCCCCTCGCAGACTGACGACCTGAGAATTGACCCGTGGTTTCAACCATTTCCTCTATACAACTCCTACCTACTTGCAACCCAGGGGTTTTTGGGGTCATTCTTATACGCCTCAGATCTCGAAAGGCTCAGATCCCCAAGGTTCTTTGGCTGCCACTTACCCCATCCAACATCCGTTCGAGTCCTAACACCCAGACACTCCATGTATGGCCCATAGGGTGTAGCCGTGTAGCCCATTACCAGTAACAGTCGGTAAAAGAGGCTTCACTATGTTTCAGTATACGGCCTTTGCTAACCATCATCCACTGGGCCCTGGTTATTTGGATATACCCAACATATAATATATCATACATACCTGGAGTGTTTGGTACAGGGCACGGAGCAACGGTGGCATCGCCCGCACAGGAGCCATGGAGCCCAGGTGGGCGCAACGGTGGCAAACGTGGCGTGTGGCGTTTCGTTTTTCAAGCGAGACCAAATGGTGAAGTAGCATGACCCACTCACACGGTGTTAGACATGTTGCCTTGAAAATACTTGAAAGATCTTGAAAGAGGTTCATGAACCAAACATGTTCTCAGTTCCATGTGACAGTATGTTTTTAGTAGCATGTTTTAGTTTTCAAACTAGGAGTAACCATTTTGCTGTGGCTGTTGCAGATCAATAGTCAATGCATGAGGATCGAGTTGAAGGTCGATTCGACGGTGATGGTTTCGTTCAAGATGGAGTGCATTTGGTGGTCAAATGGATTCAAATCCGTGATGTTGAACGACTTTGGAACCGCTTGTGACAATCAACCATTTGACCTTCTAACAATCAACCGTATGAGCCACTAAGGTCAACTTATGACTTTGGAACCAATTTCAGACAATCATATTGATAATATAACTGCACTATATATAGCTTACTGACTCAGTGGTATGTACCGCTTGTAAGGCTTGTCAGGAGGCCTTGCCATCTCTTGGAACCCTGAGAAGCTCTAATTAGTCTCTTGCTGCGATGAGCACTGTTCACATCGTTGACGCCTCAGGCACTCCTTGTCCAATGGCCCGAGTGCTCAGGGCTCGACTTCGGGCAATGTTGAAAACTTAGTTTTTTTTTTTTGGCCAGTGGATCAATATGCCTGAAAAACTAAGGAATAGTAATTCCAGTGGAGCAATAAACTATTCCCTTTAATTAACACAAGTTACTAGGCACAGTGTTAGGGAATAGTTATTCCAGTGGATCAATATGGGCTCACCCAATTGTCGGCATGGTTGCGCAAGGTTGAAAGCACACAGTGCTCGGACATCCTGCGACACCCCCACATTCCCAGGGTTTGCTTTTTGGGACTCCTACTGCTGGTTCCACGATGTTCCATGAGAACCTCTCAGCTTTGCGTTCTCGTGTTGCCCCAGTCGTACACCACCGACCAATCCGATAGATTCAGGCGGATAGATTGGTGGAAAACATTTTCCAGAGGTCCAGAGGCCATAATGTCAGTGGAGATGTTTGAGGCAGGCAAGAAGAACCGGAAGAAACCCAGGCGTTGCATCCCAGGCACCGTAAAAGAAAAAATATCAGCACCAATTACATGTACAGAAGGGGTAGCCATGGGAGGTGGAGTGGTGTAGATTGTAGAAAGGCAGGTTTTTGTGAGGTTAGTGATATGCAAGCATTAGCAAATGCAATCACAACTTTCACAACCCCACCCCCGATGACACTTTTGGTCAACAGCTCTATCTATCCATCATCAATATCATTATCAGCACCTCCGCCTTTGTCATCCTCTCCGAGGGATCAAGTCCCCCTCCTCCGAGAAGGACTGCGACCAGACGTGATTGTCACAGGAATCAGGAAACATGTGATTGTTTGGAACATGTGTGGATCACGAGCATGTCTTGATCAGCATGGTCTTCTCAATCAGATCCCAAATCCAGGAGCTCAACGCTTCATCGCGGCTCACCACACAGGTACCGTTTTTCGTCTCACAGCCCTCGCGCTTGCGCACCGCGGGGATTGGGGGGGATTGTGGCTGGAAGTATGTCAATGTGATTGGTAGGATTTGGTTGGAGCCCTGCGTCGGTTCAAGAATGTAAATAATGTAAATTGACATTTCGAAATCATTGATGCTTGATCATCTTGAATCCAACAAGATCCCCTCACCAATGCGAGGATGATCCAGGATGTTGGTTTGCGGCGTTTGCGGTAATCTCGTTGCACCCAACCAGCAACGGGCAAGGGGTGAAAAGGGATGGTCCTCAGCTCCACAGTTTCTTCGTCCAGGACCATCCGTTGCTCGGATGCCAGGCCCTCCAGTTCGACCATTGGAAGTACGAACTCACCTGATGTGCCATGATTTCACCTGATGTGCCATGATTCCTGTCTAACTATGAGGTGGGCGGGCCCCTGTGTTTCATTCACACTCCCTCCCGGCGGATTCCGAGGGCTCGGCTTCCCACGTTCCTTTTTTTCCAAGCCCCAACACGGTGCCGCAGAAGTTGGGCTGGACGGTGACAACCCGAACTCCGTCGGCCCCAGTTCCGCCCGCCATGACGAATTCGTGGCTCTTCGTGATGCTTGCAGTGGCGGCCACCAAGGAGGCCCGGGACCGGGGCCGACTCGAAACGGATTCGGTGGATGCAGGTGCTGCAGGTCCTGCAGACCGAGGCCTCCCAGTGCTTAGACAGATGTGGAAGTTGCAGAGAACTAGTCTGCAGATGTAAGGCAGACCAGTTGATCTATACTTTGGGTTTTCATGGAACTATGTGGAACGTGGGCGGCATTTCCCAGTCTTTCCCTTATATCCCGATGTTCTGCAGAGGTGTTCATGGTGGTTGACAGGAGCCAAGTAAGGAGGGTGTGACTGGTTCCAACTCATTTGTTGTCATGTGTTGAAATTTGTAGAAACAGAAATACGCTCATTTGTAGAGGGCCGAATTCAAATATAGTAAATGTCTTTGAGAACATATCCTTTTTAAAGTTCGAATTCTGTTGCCCAAAGAGCCTCGGAGTTTCAACTCATTCCACAGTTAGCCGCTAGCCCGGTGCCCCGGTCGGTCAGATGGAGCACTGCGAAGACTCCTCGAGCAGCACCTTCTTCCTGCAGACGCAACAGATGCTGCGGCAGAGGAGCGTCCCACCTAGTAGCTTCTTGTTCCGTTCGTAACGATGCCATTTGCTACGTTCGTAGCGTCCTTGCTCCTAGTAGCGATGCCAGGAGCCCCGAACGTAGCTTCTTGTTCCTAGTAAGCAAAACCACCCGAGCCGAAGACACTCCTGCCTGTGAACAGACCTTGGGAAAAGCGTGAACCAGACTCCGGATATGTGAGAAGATCCCGATGTGGTGCTGATATATAATTGTATGGGGTAAAGGCGAAGTGTCATTGTTCTTCTTTGGAGGCTTTTGGCGGTAGCTTTTTGGCTTTGATGGCTTTGCGGTTTTGACTTTTTGTGGCTTTTTGCGATTGAGTTTTGGGTTGCGCCTGTTGTTTTTGTTTTAAGAATTGCAGCGTTTCGCTTTTTCATTTTCTCGCCGTTCCAAACCTGGCCAGGCTAGTAAGTATGAACTAAGGTGTTTTAAAGAGATTCCGACCAGGACCATGCAAGGTCCAAGGGGCCTCCAATGGACTACTCTTCAAATCTCCATTGGGCACTTCAGGTATGTGTCCATCGGTTTCTGAGCAAGAAATCAATACTTTTGTATAACTTATTGACTTCTTATCTGCTTCTGGGGAGGCGGTGCGCCACTTTGCCCAGCCCTCAACCCCCTTGGACCTTCTTTTAACATAGGTCAGAAACCAGCCAGGCCAAGAAGCAATATCAGCCTGCAAGTGACTGCGGTAAGTGAAACTCAATGAAAACTCGCACGGTGCTCAAGCCCCCACAAGGCGATCACATCGGATATGCATATATAATTATGTTCATAGTTAAGCTTATAACTTACCTATGATTTATCATGAATTCACATGAATGCAGAGTATACACCAAAGCCCTGGCATGTTTTGTGTTTGGTGTTACGTAGTGTCATGCCACCATGCAGGACAAGTACTGAGTGTGGGTACTTGGTGAATGGATCTTTGGGAGATGCATTGACCTTCAACAACAACAATTGCAAGTGTCTTCGGCTCAAGTGGGCAATGTTTGACCCACACGTTGCGGGCATTCCGAATTTTCTGTTGGCCCAGACGGTTGTATACCAGACTCGTCTTGGTCGCTTGTCAAGTGAGCCATGAAGGACATTTATATAGTGCTTTCCCAACGCTTGAGATCATTTGGGATGATTTAGAGGGTGCCAATCGTGGATTGAGAGTAGATGGAACCTTTCCCAAACTTGGTGGTTTGAATGGACCCCCATCTAAAAGATCTAAAAGGCATCTTGGGGTTTGTGCCCTCGAACCTGTAAAACCACTGTATTTGCCAACAGGTTGCGAACTCGCTCCCATGTTGTCACCGAGTGGGAAACTGAATGTGTATATAGTGGTGGTCTTTTGACAATCACTTTACATCCGACTGTTCCGAGCCGGTGGTCCGGTGGCCATGGACGAGAGGACCGGATGATTGTTTCGTTCTGGAATGAGGATGTGGATGTCATGTGGAGAACAGCATGATCGGTTTCACAGCATGTTCATCAACTTCGCAACATTGTCATCGATGTATGGTGTAGAACGCGGTAGTGATGAATCGAGGCTGATAGACACACAAGGGGCTCCCCATAAGTCTTGTTCTTCAAAATTCAATGCTCGAATGACCCCGAAAGCTTCCAGAAAGCTGATGTGAAAGATTGAGCAAAAGTATGGTTGTGGAGGAATATGCAAAGGGCCAAGGGCCATTTAGAAGAACGATGGCCAATGGGTGAAGGCAGCCCAACTCCGTGGCGACAGGATTGATATTTTTGACTGTGTTATGCTGCTCAGACGCTGGTTCAAAATACTGACGTGCAATTGCGTGTTTGTTGCGGCTATGTGGCTGGAGCCCTTGTTATGAGCACCTCCGTCAACTCAACTCTCGATCTCTTTCATGATGTTGTGGTTGCTGGCGAAGTTATAAAGCGACTTTTTTGTTGCTGGGCTGTCCCGGTGAAAAACAATTATCAAACCAGCCGTTTCAGGACTGCAAAGGTCTTACATACTAAATGGGATGTTTTAGTTTTGCTGTTTTTTAGAGTATTATAAATTGCTAGCATAGGAACAGTCTATTAAAGCTAAACAGTAAGTCACACTTATAAGTGCAATCTACTTTAGTCATATGTATTGCAAGTTGGTGTTTAAGAATTGCGTTTCTATGAGCTACTTTGATATTTCTCATTGGTTTATATGTCTATATCTGTGTTTTTTTCCGCAGATCTCTTGTGTCGTATTTGTTCTTGCAGTTTTGCCAGTCGTATATACTGGGCTGCGGGTATAACTGGGAAGGGCCGACATCACTAAAGTGATGCTTTATGATATGTTCCTTATTACTTATGTATGGCGGACACTGAGCCGACAGAAAAAATGCTATATTTAGAACACTATTGCAGACATGGCCGCTGTACGCGCCCAAGCTTTGAAGAACCATTGTTCAACAGAAAGTCGGCTTAATATTTTTTTAACTTCAAAAAGCAGATTTAAATATTTCATATCTAAGATAGATCTGTTCTATAAATATGTTGTGCGGAAAGATATGTATTTACTTATATTCAACTATTTCAAGAGCAAGTAGGTTATAAGTACATATTCTGACTTGTTGAAATACGAGTTAACAGAACAGTAACTTTTAGTATATCAACTAAAAGTTATAAGAGATCCAACTAAAACAGCCCGTACAGTAGATGCAAGCGCGAAGATGAAGGCCTAACGTGCTTTTCTTTGCGTCCTCTACCATGGGATGTTTTTTCGACGGTGCGCCTGCCTTGGTTCATTGCCTTCATTTTGGCCGACGGTCAAATTCACGCCAGGGCTGCCATGAGGGCCGTTTCTCACAGAATGGCTAGCTTCGTTGACCGGCCGCATTATGAGCGATCGCTTGAAGTTATGGTTTACTCTCCTAGTGGAACCTGAGCCTGCTTCTACATTGGAAGTTGCCTCGTCCTCCCAATTAGAGAGTGTACCAGCTACACCACCTCGCTCCAATGTGTGTGCCGCTTCGATCCCAGTTTTGGATACTCCTGTTTTTTCACGAATCCCTGTCGGAAACCCTGGGGCATTGAAGGTCATTGCAGCTAGTTCTGTCGGTCCGAAAAGGATCCGCAAAGCGTAGAGAGTCTAGAAGTGAGAGGAGCCAAGTGGCTCAGGCAGCCCGGAACACGTGCCTGCGGCGGTGTTCTCCGCCTTGTTTCGCACAAGACTGCTGCCTGCCGAGGCTGGTAGATGTTCCTGCTTTGAAGGTTGTGAAGGACTCGTGTTCATTTGGCTTTTGTTTGGAGTCAAAGACAGAAGTGTTCTGCATCTAGCTGTCAACCCTGATATTCAGCGAGCTGAACTTCAGCCATCTTCCTGAGTGCGCATGGCCCTGTGGCATGTATGGCAGGCGCTGCATCTTTGGCTTGTTTTTTCTCCATGCGCTACAGTTGATTTCGTTGGCAAGAAACTTGGGCTGAGCGTCTCTTCCTCAGGTCCGTTGAATTCAACTTTTCACTGCCGCCTGAAACATGAAGTAGGCTTAATTGGCCTGCCTGCAGCAATCGCAAATGCTGATGCGTGGATTTCTTGAAGACGGTACTTCATTGAGGCACTGCATCGCGGAAAGCAATGCTTTTTCTCTTGGGCCCTGCCAGAGCGAAAGCTTTGGGGAAGCCGCCGCCGGAGAGCTTTGCAAAGCTCGCCTGTATAGTAAGAGCGAGTCAGGTGCCAAGTCCAGACGGTGCATCGTGCTACCCCAAGGTTTCCCGAGCGAAAGATGCATCATTTCAGTGTCAATCATAGCAAGAGAGAGTTCTCGAAAACGGTTCGGTTTAGAAACAATAAGTTTTAACATACACTGATGCAGTTTGGACTCGCGTGAGGATATTCGCGCCGAAGTCCCTCTCTTCGAAGTTAACACAGATAAAGCAGAGGATTTGGTCGTGGCAGCGCGCAGGTTTTCATTTTCCCACTAAATGACACATGAAACGGGATGATGAATTGCACATTGCTGGCGCAATCAGTGTCCACAATTTTTCGGTACACCGTTTACACCGTTTACAACGTCTACACCGTTTACACCGTTTACACCGTCTACACCCTTTACACCGTCTACACCGTTTACACCGTTTACACTGTCTATACCATCTACACCGTTTACACCGTCTACACCGTTTACACCGTCTGCATCGTCTACACCGATAACACCGTCTACACCGTTGAAGCCGTTACCAGCGCATCCGGTGTAAACAGCGTGGTCAGCGCAACCAGCGTAACCAGTGTAATCTGCATAATCAGTGTAATCAGCGTAACCAGCGTAACCAGCGTAACCCGCGTAACCAGCGTAATCTGCATAATCAGTGTAGTCAGCGTAACCAGCGTAATCCGCGTAACCAGCGGTAACCAGCGTAACTAGCGCAACCAGCACAGCCAGCCACAGCCAGCGTACCAGCGTAAAATCACTCGCGGACACGCTTTGCCACGTCGCTCGAACTGCAACAAAACATGATTAATTAACATGTTTGCTTTCCCACAAACCAGTGCTTGATGCAGGCCCCGTACATTTTTCACACCTTGTGTCCTAAAATCCTAAAACATACATTATACCTAGAAGCACCTGGGGCAGAAATTTCTGCCTCAGTCCGATTTGCCCGGGAGGATTCGCGGATTTAGGGGAAATCCGCGCCAGGTAGGAATTTCTGCGGGCAGCAGGGAATTTTTGCCTTAAGCAAAATCCAACATAGCAACTCAAAAACCATTACAACCTACCAGGTTGTCTCTTCCATGATTGCAGACCACATATCGTTCTGCATAGCTTCACATCTCAAGATCTGACACCCTACGATTTTGACACTTCTAAATTCATGACATTCACAAAGAGGCCGCGACATATGTTCAAGCCCTTCAAAGGCATCAAAGGCACTGTTCTTGAATCCCGCCTTCTACCAGGAAATTTCCGCCGGTTTCCCGAGTATTTCTGCCGTTTTCCCGGGTATTTCCGCCTCTTTCCCGGGTATTTCTGCCTTTTTCCCGGGCATTTTCGCGCCAGGTGTTTTCAACTTTGGACTGATTTTAGTTCTTTTGTGATCATTCCGCACAAGAAACCTTCAAAAACAAAGACACATATATATGATATGATGGTACTGGGATGAACCGTGGGCTTATAAAGGTTAGTAGGCTGTATAAGTGCATTTATAACATACTTATATATATGGTATAAGTATGGTATAACATTGTATACTATAGTATAACTTCCATAACACTTAGCAACTTAAAATCATAAGTCCTAGAAACTTTACAACAACTTAACATCATTTATGTATAGTTTTATAAACATTTAGCATAGTTATAAGTAGTTAGTCTGATTTGGTTATAACTGGTTATGAGTAGTTATCTAAATACATATGTGCACATATTTTTATATGTTTTACAAACATAAATGAGTGCTAATGCAACCAACGTAGAAATAAAAAAACACAAATATTTGTATGCAACAAGTGATGACAGGGATTGATGATGTGGATGTTTTTTATTTCATAATGTTTTTTGTTTTTGTGAGGGTTTATGTTTCTTTTGATTAACAAGGATGGGCTTTGTTATAGTGGGCTGCAGGTCCATGATGGTGTGGTGTTGAACTTTGTGTGTCATGTTCAAGCTGATTGGCTGTCATGAGTGCATACATACTATTTTTCATGTAGTTATACCAATCTAGAACTTTGGCGCGCTTACAGGCCAGCATGTTGTCTTGCCATGCATGCACCACAACACATACATAAAGCCATTTTTGACTTCATGAGAACCATGTGCATGCACCCCATGCCATGTCCTACTGTCAAGCCACATTGGCTACATGAAATGCATGCATTCCATGCCATGTCCCACTGTCAAGCCACATTGGCTACATGAAATGCAACAATCATTTTGTTGGCATGTGAAAAAGTCCATGTTTAAGCTGCATGCATTGTCTAGAGCCATGTTGTCTTGCATAGGCTGTAGCAATTCTTGTAACCACTTTTTT